AGTCCTTATCATCCATCAAATATAGATAATTGTATTACAGCTGTAAATGAAGTAGCAGGTTTCAAATCAAATACAAAAATCTACACAGCTTCTTTTATTGCTTCAAGACTTGGTACTCTTTTAAAGCAGATAGGAAATTTAAATATTGCTGAATGCAATCAAACGAAATAATTGGGATGAAAAGAAGAATACAGAAAACTTTCTAAAATTAGAAGAAGATTTTAGTGTAACTGTAAATAAAACTGTTGAAGAATCGATATTACAAGATAAACGTTATCAATTACAAGAGTTATCATCATTAGACGATATTAAATTATTACACAACTTTTTGCAAACCAATAGACGTTCAGCGTTTCAACGACTCAGTGACGAATTTACGTATGGTGCCTGGCGATAGTTAGCACAATTTACTTTCATATCCGTTCAAGTATTTAATAGACGAAGAGCCGGGGAAATAGAACGAATATCTATTGATGATTACAGACATCAAGAAGGTATAAATGAGAAAACAAATCCAGAAATAGATTTATACACGTCTTTATTTGATGAGCTCGAGAAGTATGTATCTAACTTTATGTATATTGAAAGATATCTATTAGATTCGGAAAAAATTAACGGAGACCGACTGGATTTGAACTCGGGATCCCTCGTCTACCAATCCGAACACTTAGTCTGCACGACCACGACGGCTCCTCTCTGTTAACTGTTTATATTCCGAATCTCTTTCATGACCGCTTACGGTCGTCTAATTCTTATAATATGTTTACATATAATTTGTATATTTTGTATAAAAAATTATAAAAGATTCAAAGTTATTAACGTTAGTTATTAGCGTTAGTTATTAGCATTATTAAGGATAAGACAAATATGACTAATCGCAAATAATACAAATTTCTAAATATATCACAGGTTGGCATTAAAACAGTATAATTAATGATTATCCACGATATAAATGAAAATAATTACAAATAAATTTAAAATAAAGTGAGTGATTTAAAAACATTATTGTAAGATTGATTTTAATATAAGATTTTCGATATTACGATTTTGAATTCCTAGTTAAATACGATACAGTATCATAGCACAATAAAAGATATTATTCGTTAAAAATATTGATGTTGAAAGCTATTTTTTCAAAATAATGTTTTGTGTGATATAATTTTATAAATAATTTATAATATACATATAGACCTCTTGTTTTTACTTACTTAAATCATGATTCATACTTAATGCCAATATGTATTTAGACAACGCACAATTTAACAATTGTTTATTAAAATTAAAATTAATACTATTATTAAATTTAATTATTATCTAAAAGCAAATTTAGAAAAGTTGATTTGCCGGCTTTATTAATGTATACTAATGTATACTAATGTATATTAATATACATTAATATTTTCAAGATGTACGTATTATAAAATTAAAAAATAACGTATTATAAAAATTTATATAAATAATAAACTCTTTATTAAATATTTCAGATAGCTAAGAAATATAAGATTTCTCATTAGAGGAAAGCTTGAGAGATCTTTACCGTCCTTCTAGATTGTAAAATGAAGAAATATATAGATTTATTTCTACGATATCGCAAAGAAGCGAATATACCCAATAAAAATCCATATATTTTTGCTTTACAAGGTTATGATAAAAAACGTTTCAAATATATATTTGAAATTTATATAATGTGATCTATTGCGCCATTATTCTTTAGAATGTGGAGCAAAACTGCCACTCAGATTACGGGGTACAAAACTCCATAAACATATCGCAACACGGTGCATTACGCTAAATTTATCTGACCTTGATGTAACAGACTTGGCAAGTTACCTAGGTCAGTTATCTAGGTCATGATAAAAGTATTCATCTGCAACATTACCGTCAGTCTATTCCACAAATTGAAATTATTAAAATGTCAAAATTACTCAAAATAGCACAAGGCAAAGATCAAGATATGCAATGATTTGTGCTGCATACGGAGAGAACGCTGTAAGTCATACTACATGTAAAAGATGGTCAAAAATTTCGCCAAGGACATTTCAGTCTTGAAGATGAACCGCGTGCTGGACGC